TCAGCCAAATATCTAGACTAAATCTCTATGAGTCATGACCCTGTTGCTTAAAATTTGAAAAAAAATGTTTTGTCTGAAAATCTGAAAATCCCCTTTCCTTCAAAAACTAGATACATTTTGCTTTTTTTCCCTTTGGAAGCCTTTCTGCTGGAAGTGATATTTTTCATTTTCGTCATCATTTTCCGAGGGTTTCTGGCTTGGAAAGTCCGATTTTGGGCTCAAAAAATCGATATTTTTTGATTTAAAGTGCCTAAAATGAGTCTTATTTGTCTGGTTTTTTAGACTGAAATTTTCTGACTTTTTCAGTTTTTTTTCTTCTAATTTCTAAAAGTATAATTTTTCAAAGATGCCATAAACATTCTGATAGAAAAAATGAGGCAAATTGAGATTCCGTACCTTGGGTGCGCCCACGTTTTATTGAATAGACAGTAGACCGATTTTCAGTGATTTTTAGTGCAATTTTCAGCATTTACACGCTCAAAAATAGTTCAAAATATCGATAAATTCTTTTTTTTCAAATTTTCTAGATCGATTTTTAGCCAATTTTCAGCAATTTTAGTGCAATTTTCAGCTCAAAATTTGAGCTTTGACCCTATATTTAGACTAAAAACGTCTAAAAATCGTCTAAAAAATGCTGAAATTCTCTAATGTTTTATTGATTTTTTTTGCGATTTTAGGGTGATTTCCAGAATCTTAAAATTGATTTTTTCCAGTTTTTAGCACAATTTTCAGCATTTCCAACCAAAATTTCTGGCGATTTTCGGCGTTTTTATTCAATTTTTAAATATAAAAATTTCGGTAAAAAATGTCCGAAATTTTCAATTTTCAGCATTTTTTCAGCTTTTTCCAATTTAGTGAAAATTTCAGCAAATTTTTAGCTCAAAAATTGAATTTTTGACCCGAAATTTGGCTTTCAATGTTTTTTTTCAATTTTCTGGAACAATTTTCAGCCAATTTTCGGCATTTAAAACCCAAATTTTGAGCAATTCTAGCTCAATTTTCAGCGAAATTTTCAGCTCAAAAAGTGACGCTCAAAAAGTGCTTCGAGGGGTGAATCCTATGCGAATATCACATGTGATGTGATTAAATAAAGCTGAGCAATCTGCGCATTTTTGAGCACTTCCTTCTTATAAATGATGTCAAATTATTTTTTCAAAAAGTTTATAAAATAAAATTATAGGTTTTTGAGCCAAAAATAGAGAAAACAAGAGGATTTTGAGTCAAAATTCCTAGAAAAACAAAATTAAGAAAAATATTGAATTTCATGGGAAAAAAATGAGATTTTTTTTTTTGTTTTCTGGATTTCAAAAAAAATCTTAAAAATCGTTCAAAATATCGAAAAACTCTTTTTTTTCAATTTTCTAGAACGATTTTCAGCCAATTTTGAGCATTCAAAACCCGAATTTTCAGCAATTTTAGTGCAATTTTCAGCTTAAAATTTGAAATGGCCAAAAATGACTTTTTTGAGCTTGAAAAAATCTCAAATTTTACCGAAATTTTTCTATTAAAAATTGAATAAAAACGTCGAAAATCGTCAGAAATTTTGGTTAGAAATGTGCTGAAAAATGTGCTAACTTTTAAGATTCTGGAAACTACCCTAAAATCGCAAAAAAGATCAATAAAAAATTTGAAAATTTTGCGATTTTTTGGACGATTTTTGGGCGTTTTTAGCCTAAATATGCAATTTTAAGAAATTCGAAATCGGGTAAAATGCTCGAAAATAGCGTTTTTTTTTGGGATTTTTTTCTAAATTTTCCAGATTTTCAAATTTTGAGATTTTCGAATAATTTTTTAAAATTTCGAAAACTCATTTTTCCAAAAAAAAACTGCTGACCAAGAAAGAAAAAAAATTAAAAAAACGAAAAAAAAGAGAAGAGTAACAAGTTGGTGAAAAGGGAAGAAGAAGAGACATCTTCTTCTTCCTTTTGACTCCAAACTGATGGTAAGGAAGAAGAAGAAGAAGAAGATGGAAAATTTGAGAATAACTTTTTTTGAGGAAGAAGAAGGGCAAAAATTTAGAGAAGCAGACGAAAAAGTTCATGTCTCCAGAGGGGTTTCCAGGAGAAGAGGAAAATTTGAAATTCAAGGATTTCGGGAAAAACTAGAATTTCGAAATTTTAAAAATTTGAAACCTGACATAATGGAGAAATCCAAAAATCTGAAAAATCCGAAAATTTGGAAATCGATCTGAAAGCTCAGAAATTCAGAAATTTCGGAAAAATCCAAAATCGAAAATCTAGAAAAATCGGAAATCTAGAAATTTGAAAATCCCAAATTACAGGAATTCGTATTTTCAAAATTTCGAAAACTTCAAAATTTCAGAAAAAAATAAATAAAAAACTGAAATTCTCAAATACGGAAGTTGGAAGATTTGGAATTTCAGAGAATCCAAAAAATCGTTAATTTCAGAAAAATTCAAAAATTCAAAATTCGTGATTTTAGAAATCTGGAATTCAGAAAAAAAGTGAGAAAATTGGCAATTCCAGAAATTCCTAAATTCTAAAAATCTGGATTTTCTTTGCAGTCCAAAAAGTTCAAAAAGTCCAAAATCTGGAATAACCGGAAATTCGAAATCCAAATTTTCTATAAAAATATATCTAGAAACTCCAAAATTTCCCAAAAATCTGGAATTTCAGAAACTCCAAAATTTCCCAAAATCTACCCATTTCAGAATTCAAAAAATTAGAAATGAGAATTGTGGTAAAATCTAAAGTTCCAAAATTGCAGATCCTAATTTTTCTGAATTTTCAACTTTTGAGGAAAAAATCCCAAAAAATTTTTTGATTCAAAGAATCTAAAAATTTCCAAAAACGTCCCCCCTCCCCCCTTTTCAAATTGCCGTCTATTCAATGAAAATTTGCAGAGAAAGAAGAAAAAATTCGTTCTTTTTTCACATTTTTGGGGCTTGTTGTACAAAAAAGGAAAAGGGGAAAACACCCATGTACATCATGTAAACGTCCCAAATGGATTAGAAAACGAAGAAGAAGAAGAACAAAAATGAAAGAAGAGGAACAGGAAGATTGAAATGTGTACATAGTTTTGAAAAAAAAAGGTAGCCTAGAAACCCAAAACCTGGGTTTTCTAGGCCATGGACTTCAAATTGCTCAATAAGCAAATGAGATGGCCTAGAAAATCCTAAAAAAATGAGAAAACTAGGTCAGCGAAAAATTCTAAAACATTCCTAGGCCACAAAAGATTGGATGGCCTAGAATCCCAAAAAAATGGATTCCCAGGCCATTGGCTGTGGGATAGCCTAGAAACCCTAAAACTCGGCCATGATGAGGTTCTGTAGTGTTGTTGCTGACATCGTTTTCTCGCTTTTTTTGTCATTTCGAAGTGGTGGCCTAACTTTTGCAAATTTGGTTTTTTAGGCCACCACTTCAAAATGGCCTAAGAATGCCCTAACATGACCCTGGTGTGTTTTCTAGGTCATTTTGAAGTGATGGCCGAACTTTTGCAAATTTGGTTTTCTAGGCCACCACTTCAAAATGGCCTAAGAATGTCCTAACATGACCTTGGTGTGCCTAGAAAACACGCCAGATGCATGTCAGGTCATTTCCAGGCCATTTTACCATGGTGGCCTAGAAAACCAAATTTGCAAAAGTTAGGCCACCATGGTAAAATGGCCTAGAAAACACATGAGATGATTTCCAGGACATTTTACCGTGGTGGCCTAGAAAACCGAACTTGCAAAAGTTAGGCCACCTTGATAAATGACGTAGAAAACGACTCTGGAATTTGGAATTATCTGGGAAATTTCTGAAAAAAATAGCCATAATGAAGTGGTCCTTAGGAAACAGAAAAACACTTGAAAATTTTCAAGGATTTTAGAAAGCTTTTGGTGGCCTAGAAACCCAAATGATTGGATTTTAGGCCAGCCGGAAGAGGAGGAAATTCGGGACGAAAAACAAAACAAACGAAATGAAATGAAATTTTTCGTCTTCTCATTTTCTTCTCCATTTTCGATTTACTACCCAATTTTCTTCATTTTGCTCATTTTCTCGTTTTTCGCCAAAAAAGAGGAAATTGTGTTTTTTTTGTCTCTTCGTTTTTGATGGAATGTTTTTAGGGGGATCTGTGGTTCTGTTTGTCCAGATGTCCGCACTCACTTCACGTCGTTCCCAGTGATATCCAGCCAACCGGCATTGTCGAATTCGTCAGTGATGGGGCCATTTTGGATCTGGGAATTGGATTTAGGGTTGAAATTGGGATTTTTGAAGTTTTTGAAAATTTTGACACAAAAACTCAAAAATTGAAAATTTTTAGTTATTGGGTCAAAATTTAGGATTTTGAAAATTTTGAATTTTTAGGCCAAAAATTGAGCTTTTTTTTGATAAAAATGTTATGAAAATTCAAAATTTTCATAATTTTCGAAAAAATTAAAATTTGAAATTTGTGATTTTTTGAGTCGGTTCGGAATTTTCAAATTTCGATTTTTAGAATTTTTTCAAAATTTGTGATTTTTTGGTAAAAAATTGAGTTTCAAATTTGATTTTAACTTGGTAAAAATATTTTTAAAATTTCATAATTTTTGAAAAAATTGATTTTTTGAAAAATCCGAAATTTTAAAACCCAAAAAATTTTAAGAAAATTCGATTGAAAATGTGCTAAAATTGCGAATTAGGGGAAAAAAATTCTAAAAAATTCAAATTTTCGAAAATTTCGATTTTTTTGAAAAAATTGAGTTTTATGATCTTTTTTTTGAATTTTCCCCCTACCTGCTTGCTCAGCGACAATAGCTTAATACGGTCCTCATACTGAACGGGCTCCTGCTTGCCAACATGTTCTAAATTTCAAATTTTCAAAATTTTCAACAAAAAATTCTAAAAACCTTTCTTATAATACTGAACGGCCATTTTATAGCAATCTTCTAGAGGACACCCAAATTCCGATTGAATAAGCTGAACCTCGGTGAGACGGACATGGTTCTCATCAGCCATAATTTTCTGAAATTTTTCTAGAAAACTTGAAAAGGTCGGCTACATAAAAATGAATGTGTGTTCAAAGAACCAAGATCGGGGTGTGAACTGGAAATCCGTGGAAATCGGAAAAATAGCGGAAAATCTGATAAAATCCGGTTCTGATTTTTGAAAAGTCTAGAAATCTTAGATTTCGCGATATTTTTGATGTTTGACACGATCAGATTATAGAGAATTTGATGGAGAATTCAATGAAACAACTGGGAAATCTGAAATTTCTAGATTTTCAGCTCTTTTCCGGCTCTGAAAGTGCCACGCCGTCAAAAGACGTGGATCGGAGAGTGGAACACCGTTTTTCGATGCACCGGACGCAGACACCGCGACGCAACAATGCACACTTTTGCAGTTTTTGTTTTTTATTTTTCTTGTTGAATTTGACTCCTATTTTTGGGAGTTTTGCAGGGATTTAGATGATTTTTTAAAAAGTTTTTTGCATTTTTTGAATAAAAAATTGAATAAAAACCGGCCGAAAATGTGTAGAAAGTGTAAATTCTCTGAAAAATCTGTGTAAAATTAGGTTTTTCAAGTGGAGATTTGGATTGTTTGTTTTATGGATTTTCTTCATTTTGGGGCTCAAAATAGTATTTTAGAGAAAATTAAAAGGAAAAAAAAACGTTAATTTCAAAAGGAAATTCACAAAATCCAGAAAAATTGGGTCAAAATTCGAAATTTTCAGAAAATTTGTAAATTTTTTTTCAGAAAATCGATTCAAAAAGTATTTTTGGTCGAATAAAAATTGAATTTGTCCTCTAAATTATGATTCTGGATGTCAGAAAATGGGAAATTTACAGGTTGGAATTTTTTAATTTTTAGTAATTTTTTTCCCTTTTTCGCCATTTTTTTTCATATTTTTTCGAATTTTCACTCTTTTTCCTCTGTAATTAGTTATAAAATGTCGAAATGAGTCAGTTTTAAGTCTCAAAAAGTTGTGAAATTGACAGCAATCTGTCTTTTTCCTTCTCCTCCTTATCACATATTTACCACCTTTCAGAGCCGTTTTTCCAATTTTACAGCCTATTTTTCTTCATTTTCCTCCATTTTTCTGCCTAAAACCACTGAAATCCTGCAATTTCCAGGGTAGAAATGACAACTAAAGAGGATCTTCTCCAATTGGGACTTTCCGAGTCAAAGGCAGCGGAAACCCTAAAAAATGCCAAGCTCAGCGCGACGATCAGTGGGATTCTGAAGGAAGCGAAGCCTCTGGGACAGATTTCAAAGCAAAAAGGCACTCTTCTCTATCAACTTTCCACGAAATTGAAGCCACAAGTGGCGCCAAATGCTCCACTGGTGGTCAAGTACATTATGAACGATGGAATCAAGACTGAGCCGCAGGTAGGGATTTTAGGCCATTCTAATAGCTGTAGAGAGCTAAAAAATTGGTTTCGGACTCAAAAAACCGTCAAAAATGAGGCTTTTGGACCAATTTTGGCTCAGATTGCCCCGAAATTGGACTATTTTCAGCCGGAAATGTATTAAAAACAAAGGTTTTTGACTGAAAAATCCGATTTTAGACGTTAAAAAGGCTCAAAAATGCAGTTAGAATACGATTTTTGGGGCAAAAATATGATTTTTTAAAAATCGATTTTCGGCACATTTTGATCTAAAATTGGATCATTTTCAGCCAAAAATAGTCAAAAATGCATTTTTTTCTTCTAAATTTTTTGACTGAAAAACTTGATTTTAGACGCGGAAATAGCTCAAGAATGCAGTCTAAATGAGATTTTTGGACCGATTTTTGCTCATTTTGGTCTAAAATCCCACAATTTTCAGTCAGAACTAGCTGAAAAGTTTTTTTTTCAAATTTTTAAACAGAAAAACTTGATTTTGCAAAGTTAAAAAATGCAGGAAAACTGAGATTTTTAGGCCAAAATTAGCTCATTTTGATCCAAAAAGTGCCTATTTTCAGTAAAAAATAGACCTGAAGTATGCCAAAAATGCCGTTTTTGGACCATTTTCAGCATTCGAAATCCCCAATTTCCAGCTCTCCGCCGCCTTCGAATACCTCCTGTCCCATAGCGTCAAAGGAATCGAAATCCCGGCTTTCGAGTCGTCTTGTGGTGTCGGAGTCGTTGTAACCATCGACGACATCGAGAACGCCGTTTCCAACGTCATCGCCACACACAAAGAGAAAATTCTGGCGGAGAGATACGGTTTTGCCGTTGGAAAATTGCTCGGAGAGCTCAGATCGTCTCTTCCATGGGCCGATGGAGCTATCGTCAAGAAGGAGGTGGATTTGAGGTTTTTGGAGTTGTTGGGACCAAAAACAGCAGAGGATTTGGCGCCGAAGAAGAAGGAGAAGAAGCCGGAAGTGGTGAAGGTAGGGAAGTAAGAATATTCGGAAAATTTGAAGAAGAAAAATCTAAAAAATGAGCTGAAAATCATGATTTTTAGCTTTGAAGTAAAGGAATTCTGGCAAATTAGCTGGAAAAAATTGAAATTTCGAAAATGTTCATTGGAAAATAGCCATTATATGAAAATCTGTCGAAAATTCTTGAAAAATGAGCTGAAAAACGGGATTTTAAGCTCAGTACAGTGCTATTAAGACCCCAGGATTACTGTAGCTTTGTTGTCTAGCGAGACTCTAAAAGAAGACTATTGTACTCCATCTGAGAGCTTATCCAGGAAGCTGTAGGAGTGTCCTATTAGGAGCGGAGGGTTACTGTAGCTTGTCCTATCAGAGCTGCTAGGCTACTGACAAGATTACTGTAATTAAGAAGGTTTACTGTAGCTTATCCTTTTAGATCAAAGCTCCTAGGCTATTGACTAGAGTACTGTGGATTGCTGTAGATTATCCAGGAGTGTCTATGGATTACTGTAGAAGCTGGGAACCTAGGATTACGGTAGTTTTTCTGAAGAAAACATGTGAATCTACATGATTTTTTGCCTTCAAAAAGCCGGAATTTTTCCAATATTTTCCCATTTCAAGGCTCCAAAAGACGCTGCCAAAAAGACCGAGAAGAACGAAGCCACCAGCACCCAAGACGACTTCTCAGAAGGCGCCGAAACGATGGACGAGCTGCTCCGCACCCGTGCGCACTTCCACGCAGTCGGAGAGAACTACAAAACCGACGGCTACGTCACCACTCCCAAAACTGCAGAGCTTCTGAAGAGCCACGTGGCAGCTGTCGGCGGAAAAGTGGTCACCAGATTCCCACCAGAGCCCAATGGAGTGCTCCACATTGGACATGCCAAGGCGATCAACATTAATTTTGGATATGCGAAGGCGATGGGCGGAGTGTGCAATTTGAGATTCGATGATACGAATCCGGAGAAGGAGGAGGAGAAATTCTTCACGGCGATTGAAGACATCGTTAATTGGTTGGGGTATAATCCGGCGAGAGTGACTCATTCGTCGGATAACTTCCAACAGTTGTATTTATGGGCGGTTAAATTGATTCAGGTGAGTCTTAATTTTAGCAAATTCGCTCCATTGATAATTGCTAAAAATGAGCAATTTTCGGGATCTTAATTGCATCAAAATGTGTTGAAAAATCTGTGGATTCACATAGAAACAAAAATATTTTTAAAAAATCCGAAAAAATCGGTTCGAAAACCTCAAAAAATCAGTAGAAAAATCGGAAAAAATTACTCGAAATTCCGAAAAATTGGCAATTTCGATTTTTTGCAAAATTTTTAGACCTTTTTAGGGTTTTCAGCGATTTTTGGCACTTGTTTTCCGATTTTCCTGAATTTTTCATCTAAAATTTGACAAAATGTTGTTCAAGATTACTGTAGATTACTGTAGAAAACTTATTTTTCTTTTGTAGTTGTTTTTTGACGTGATTGTGTTTGCAAAATAAAAACAAAACTATAAAATAGAACATTTCCTACAGTAGCCTACAGTAATCTTGAACACCATCCCGTCAAATTTTAGGTGAGGAATTCGGAAAAATCGAAAAAGAATCCTCAAAAATATCTAAAAAACCAAAAAAGGCCTAAAAATTTATCGAAAAATTGAAGAAAAATCACAAAAATCGATTTTTTGGAGTTTTCAGTTTTTTCGGGAATTTGAATTTTTCAATAATTAAAACATTTATATATATATTGAAAAATACCGTAAAACCTCTATTAGAAGGGCCGCCGCTTCTATTGTTCCAAGGTACCTTCGGAGGGCCCTTCTATTAGAGGGGCTCTTCTATTAAAGGGACTTATTTAATACAGGTTTTACGGTAGTTAAAAGTTTTGTTCCCTCTTTTATTTCAAAAAAAAATCAAAAAGCTGTCAAACGCGCCCCAATGATAATTTTTGAAAAATTCAATTTTCCAGAAAAACCTGGCCTACGTCTGCCACCAAAGAGTCGAGGAAATGCGCGGTTTCGAGGTGCAAATGAGCCCATGGCGTGATCGCTCCGTCGAAGACAACCTCCAGCTGTTTGAAGACATGAAAAACGGAAAATTCGACGAGGGAGAAGCCACCCTTCGCCTAAAATTGACTCTGGAAGAAGGAAAAGTGGACCCGGTAGCCTATAGAATCAAATACGTCCCACATCATCGTACAGGCGACAAATGGTGCATCTATCCAACTTATGACTACACTCACTGTCTCTGTGATTCCATCGAGAATATTACGCATTCCCTGTGCACTAAGGAATTCCAATCGAGACGAAGCTCGTACTATTGGCTGTGCAACGCTCTGGACATTTATTGTCCCGTCCAATGGGAGTACGGTAGACTCAACGTCAATTATACCGTTGTGTCGAAGCGGAAGATTCTGAAGTTGATCACGACAAAAACGGTGAACGATTGGGACGATCCGCGGTTGTTCACGCTTACAGCACTTAGAAGACGTGGAATCCCATCGGAAGCTATCAATCAATTTGTGGCGAAACTCGGTTTGACGATGTCGCAAATGGTGATTGATCCACAGCTCCTGGATGCGTGTGTTAGGGATTATTTGAATATTCATGCGCCAAGAACGATGGCTGTGCTCGACGGCTTGAAGCTCACGATCGAAAACTTTGCCGATCTAAACCTTCCCTCCACCGCCGACGTTCCAGACTTCCCATCGGATCCATCGGATCCACGTAAGCATTCTGTCGCCGTGGACCAAGAGATCTACATTGAGAAAACGGATTACAAGCCAGACGACACGGATAAATCATTCAGAAGACTGACTCCAAAACAGACTGTCGGCCTGAAACACATTGGACTAGTGCTTCGATTCGTTCGAGAAGTCAAGGATTCAGAGGGGCACGTCACCGAAGTCATCGTGAAGGCGGAGACGTTGGCTGATGGAGAGAAACCGAAGGCATTCATTCATTGGGTCGCCAAGCCGGTGTCTGCAGAGGTCCGATTGTATGAGAGACTGTTCAAGAGCAAGAATCCAGAAGATGCGCAGGCGTTGCCAGGTAGGAGAACATGACCTAGAATTGCAAAAGTTAGGCCACCATGCTGAAATGGGCTATAAAACGCACCAGGCCATTTAACATGGTGGCCTAGAAAAATCCTACTTGCAAAAGTTAAGCCACAATGCGAAAATGGCCTAGAAAACGCACCAGATGATTATCAGGTCATTTCTAAGTCATTTACCAAGGTGGCCTAGAAAATTCAATTCTCGAAATCTAGGCCACCATGCTAAATGGCCTAGAAAACACACCAGGGGCATTTCAGACCATTTCTAGATCATTTACCATGGTGACCGAGAAAAATCCAACTTGCAAAAATTAGGCCAGCACGCCAAATGGTCCAAAAAACAGACCAAATGAATATCAGGCCATTCCTAGGTCGTTTACGATGGAGGCCTAGAAAACTTAAATTGCAAAAGTTAGGCCACCATGGTAAAATGACCCAGAAAACACATAAGATGACTATCCGGTCATTTCTAGGCAATGTTTCATGGTGGCCCAGAAAATTCAAATTGTAAAAGTTAGGCCACTATGTTAAAATGGTCTAGAAAACACACCAGGGGCATTTCAGACCATTTCTAGATCATTTACCATGATGGCCTAGAAAACCCAGCTCTCAAAAGTTAGGCCACTCTAAATTTGAAAATCTTCCAGGTGGCTTCCTGACGGACATCAACCCAGACTCCTTGACCGTCCTCTACAACGCTCTCATCGATCAATCAGTGGCGAAATCCAAAGTTTATGATAGGTTAGCTGGCCTAGAAATCTCCCTATAATATCATTTCTTCTTCCAGATTCCAATTCGAACGAATCGGATTCTTCTGCGTTGACAAGGACTCGACGTCGTCGAAACTCGTGTTCAACCGAACTGTAATGCTGAAAGATGGAGGAGCGTCGGGAAAGAATTGATAATTTCTATTGCATAAATTAGTGTTCTTCGTTGATTTAATTTAATTGTTGTCTAATCTCTTGATTTTTTCTCCATATCCTTTATGAATTTTAACATGGTAGAACTCGATCACTACAAAAGACGAGTACTACAAAATGATAGTATTTGAGACACTGTATCATATTTGTGAACAAAGTTATGCCAAAAAGCTGCAAATGCAGGCCGGGCCGGGCCGGTTTTTCGGCCCGTTTGGTCTGTAACGTTTTTCACAAACATGATACAGTGTTCCAAATAGTATCATTTTGTAGTGTTCGTCGACTTCTTCCATATATAATTTAGTTGGTCAAAAAATATCAATCCTAAGAAAAACTATGACACGGCCCGCCACGGCCCGCTTTGGGCCCGTCCGCAAGTATACTTAATACAAATTACGTACAAAACAATGGTACAAAAAAAAACAATTTTTTTAAATTTCAACATTTTTGGATTTATTTTCGAACTTTTGAGCTCAAAAAATCATTTCAGCAACTTTGAAATAAAATCCAAAAACATGAAATTTACATATTTTCTTCACTTACTTTGATTTTTGAGCTCAAAAAAAATCGTTTTTCGAAATTAGAGGGACAATGTTTTAAAAAGTATTTTAGATTTTCAGGTTACTGTAGCTAAGGTTCCTGAAGTTAAGGTAGCTTTTGTTGAGGTTACTGTAGTTATGGTTACTGTAGTTAAGGTTACTGTAGTTAAGGTTACTGTAGTTTAGGTAACTATATCTAAGGTTACAGTAATTAGGGTTATTTTAATGAAGGTAACTGTAGTTAAGGTTACTGTAGCTAAGATTCCTGAAGTTAAGGTTACAGTAGTTCAGGTAACTATAGTTAAGGTTGCAGTAATCACAGTTGTTGTAGTTAAGGTTACTAAAGTTAAGGTTACTATAGTTAGGGTTACTGTAGTTAAGGTTACTGTAGCTGAGGTAGTTTAGGTAACTAGGTAGTTTAGGTAAAGTTTAGGTAAGGTAGTTTAGGTAACTGTAGTTTAGGTAACTATGGTTAAAGTTACAGTAATTATGGTTACAGTAATTAGGGTTACTGTAATTAAGTTTGCTGTAATTAAGGTTACTGTAGTTGAAGTTCCTGTAGTTAAGTTTACTGTAGCTAAGGTTACTGTAGTTAAGTTTACTGTAGTTAAGGTTACTGTAGTTAAGTTTACTGTAATCACAGTTGTTGTAGTTAAGGTTACTGTAGTTAAGTTTACAGTAATTAAGGTTATTGTAATTAAGGTTACTGTAGTTGAAGTTATAGTAGTCAAGGTTACTGTAGTTGAGGTTACAGTAGTTAAGTTTCCTGTAGTTAAGGTTACTGTATCAAAAAGGGTTTCGATTGGGTTAGATATCCATAAAACTTCAAGAAGAAAGAAAAGCGTGAACTTTTCCTTGGGTGTAAAAAAAAATATTTTTTTGGAATATACAGCAAAATTTGGGAGGTGTCAATTGATAAGAAAGCGCCGTAGATTTATTGTTTGCATTCAATTTTACTTTGAAAGGTTTTGCCGAATACAAAAAGGTTGGTTTTCGGTTCTATAGGCTGGATTAGGCGAATGCGCTCTACTGATAATTTTTACTTTTTCAATCTTCCGATTTCTGAGCTCCGCAAAGAAATTCCAACAATTTGAGTGGTCTAAAGGTGGGGGGACAAGAGATTTTACGGGGTATTTTTGGGGCCAGAGTATGCATTCTACCGTCACGGTGTACAACGCTTAATGTCACTCTGCGTACATCTGTCGTCCTCGCCTTTATGTATGCAATCGAGGTGCTGCTCTCTCTTTGCCCGCGTAGCTCAGTCGGTAGCGGCGCCGCACCCCCAATCCTCGTCCTCACAAGTTCAACTCCTCGAGGGGCATATTTAGACGGAATATCGAGAACATTATTTTTTTCATGTCCCCCCACCTCTAAATCAGAAATGTGAAAACTTGAAAAAACAAGCAATCGCGCTCTAACAAACTTAAAAATGAAACTACAAAAACTATTTCCTACAGTAACTCAAAGAAATGGGAGACTTGATCCAACTAAATGTCGGACAGAAAGTGAAAAAATGGCAAATCGATAAGAAGCTCGGCGAGGGTGCATTCGGCGCTGTCTACAAATGTTCCAACCCAAAAGGCGACCTTTTTGCACTAAAAGTCGAAGGAAAAGACGAGAAGATTCAGTTGCTGAAAATGGAAGTCTACGTTTTGAACGAGCTGAAAAAAGCTGGTGGCCGCCACTTTTGCAACATTGAGGATAAGGGACAAGTCGACAATTTCAACTATGTCGTCATGACATTCGTCGGATTATCCTTGGCCGATTTGAGAGCCAACGCGCCGACGAAAAAGTTTTCGTGAGTTTTTTTGAGGTTTTCGAAAAAATCTACTTTTAAAAAGATTTCTTCAACTTAAAATAAACTGAAAATAGCTACAATTTCCAATAAAATGAGCCGAAAACGAGCATTCTACGAGGCTTTTGAGCCGAGTTATAGGGATTTGAAGTTTTAGGCTAGAGACGCAGTGTGTCTCGTTTCTCTGCGTCTCTAGCTCGGAACTTTGAAATCGCTATAACTCGGCTCAAGATAGTCGTAGAAATTTGATTTTTGGACCGTCTTATGGAAAACTTGCGAACTTTTAATTTTGGTAGATTTTTCAAAAAACTGAAAAAAACAACTTTTTCATAAAAAACATTTTTGGGATATTTTTGGAAAACCGAAAAATATGAAAATTTCCTAACAAAATGCTCAAAAAAACAAGTTTCTACGACTGTTTCAAGCCGAGTTATGCGCATTTTAAGTTTTTTTTTATTTTTGAGCCACTTTATCTCAGTTACTATAACAGATATCAAAATGTTGTCAACTGATAAAATGTTATTGATATTATGATAAACATTTTATCAGTTGACCAATTTGCTATATCTCTCATAGGAGACGAGATAAGTAAGGTCAAAGTGAAGTGGCGGTACAAAAAGGAACAATAGACGAAGAATTGATGAATGTGCTTAAAGTGTGCATGGAACAGAAATAAAAGTAGCCTGAAATAGCCTGAAAAAATTGTCAGTTCTATTCTTGTATGCAAAATTCAAATCGTTTATTGGCACTTTCAAAAAATAGAGTTCTAGTAGTCAAGTTCTCCTTCTTCTCAATACAACTCCTCCTTCTTCTCATCCTCATACTTCTCAACCTTCTTCTCCGGCTCCTTCGCCTTCTCCTTTTCCTTCTCCTTCACCTCCTTCAACGATTTTCCAGCCTCCAACTCCACTTCCTTCTTCTTAATCACTTTCTGAGTCTGTTCTGTCACTCCATTCTTCTTCTTCTCTTGTTCTTCCTTCATCTTCTTATTCAACGATTCCTCCCAATCGTACGGATACTCAGTTGATCCCGTGTTCTTCATCGACTCTCTCAGCAGGTAGTACATTCGTTCGTAGTTGGGCTCGTCAAAGAATTTCCCCTTGTCAATCGTTTCCAGAATTTCCAGATACTCACGGGGGCAACTGAAAAAAAGCTTGGGTTACTGTAGTACATTCTTTATACACTAACTTTGACCTCAATTATCTCGGCTCCCATAAGAGATATCAAAAATTGGTCCACTGATAAAATGTTTATCATATTATCAGCAACATTTTGGTAGTTAACAAACTGTTGATATTTTTTAGTGGAACCGAGATAAATTGATTTAAAGTTGACCCTTTGTCCGACCGAAAAAAATAAGGGCTAAAAGACGGATTACTGTTTCAAGGAGTAAATTTCCAAACGAATGAATTTATACGGTGCTACATACATTTCTTTATTTTGATACAAATTATCTCAGTTCCTATAAGAGATATCAAAATGTAAACAACTGATAAATCAAATGATAAAATGTTTCTTATAAAATTTCCAAAATTTTATCAGTTGTCAACTTTTTGACATCTCTCACAGAATTCCAGATAATTGAGGTAACAAACTTACCCTCCAAACATTTTCTTCTTGATAATCGGGTCAGTACGAATTCCTCGCTTTTCCTGTCCGACTTGTCCGATTTCGGTCATGTTACGCCATGGAAGTGAGCCTTTTGTGATTTCCACCTGGGAACAAAAATTGAAAATTTTGAAATTTTGAAATCAAAAAACTATCTACAAAACACTTCAAAAATCAAGTTTCTACGACTAATTTGAACCGAGTTATGACAATCGAGCTAGAGACGCAGAGAAACGAGACACACTGCCTCTCTAGCCTCAAAACTTCAAATGCTCATAACTCGGCTCAAGATCGTCGTAGAAAGCTTGTTTTTGGCTCATTTTGTTAGAAAATTTATATATTTTTTGAAAGTTCAAAAACATTCCAAGGATCTCAAAAAAAGTTGTGTGAATTTTTGATTTCCCAGAATTTTCCAAAAATCCCACACTACTGTTTCATGTCAATTTTCAGAATGGGCACCGCCATCTCTGTGGGTCGCCAATCGTTGGAAGCACTGGAAGACATGCACAACATTGGCTATCTCCATCGTGACGTCAAACCGGGCAACTACACGATTGGCCGAGCCGAGGTCAACGAGTTACGCAAAGTGTATGTACTGGATTTCGGAATGGCTCGAAAATTTGCGCACGAGGACGGAACGATCAAGAAGCCAAGAAATGTGGCTGGATTCCGAGGTACGGTGAAGTACGCTCCAGTCAGTTGTCATGCCGGAAGAGAGTTGTGTAGACAGGATGATTGTGAGACGTGGTTGTACATGTTGGTGAGTGGAACTTTTTTTGGTTTTCAGAAAATAGGAAACATTTCCTACAAATTGAGCCAAACATGAGCTCTCTACGACGATCTTGGGCCGAGTTATGAGCATTTGAAGTTTTGAGGCTAGAGAGGCAGTGTGTCTCGTTTCTCTGCGTCTCTAGCTCGATTGTCATAACTCGGTTCAAATTAGTCGTAGAAACTTGATTTTTGAAGTGTTTTGTAGATAGTTTTTTGATTTCAAAATTTCAAAATTTTCAATTTTTGTTCCCAGGTGGAAATCACAAAAGGCTCACTTCCATGGCGTAACATGACCGAAATCGGACAAGTCGGACAGGAAAAGCGAGGAATTCGTACTGACCCGATTATCAAGAAGAAAATGTTTGGAGGGTAAGTTTGTTACCTCAATTATCTGGAATTCTGTGAGAGATGTCAAAAAGTTGACAACTGATAAAATTTTGGAAATTTTATAAGAAACATTTTATCATTTGATTTATCAGTTGTTTACATTTTGATATCTCTTATAGGAACTGAGATAATTTGTATCAAAATAAAGAAATGTATGTAGCACCGTATAAATTCATTCGTTTGGAAATTTACTCCTTGAAACAGTAATCCGTCTTTTAGCCCTTATTTTTTTCGGTCGGACAAAGGGTCAACTTTAAATCAATTTATCTCGGTTCCACTAAAAAATATCAACAGTTTGTTAACTACCAAAATGTTGCTGATAATATGATAAACATTTTATCAGTGGACCAATTTTTGATATCTCTTATGGGAGCCGAGATAATTGAGGTCAAAGTTAGAGTATAAAGAATGTACTACAGTAACCCAAGCTTTTTTTCAGTTGCCCCCGTGAGTATCTGGAAATTCTGGAAACGATTGACAAGGGGAAATTCTTTGACGAGCCCAACTACGAACGAATGTACTACCTGCTGAGAGAGTCGATGAAGAACACGGGATCAACTGAGTATCCGTACGATTGGGAGGAATCGTTGAATAAGAAGATGAAGGAAGAACAAGAGAAGAAGAAGAATGGAGTGACAGAACAGACTCAGAAAGTGATTAAGAAGAAGGAAGTGGAGTTGGAGGCTGGAAAATCGTTGAAGGAGGTGAAGGAGAAGGAAAAGGAGAAGGCGAAGGAGCCGGAGAAGAAGGTTGAGAAGTATGAGGATGAGAAGAAGGAGGAGTTGTATTGAGAAGAAGGAGAACTTGACTACTAGAACTCTATTTTTTGAAAGTGCCAATAAACGATTTGAATTTTGCATACAAGAATAGAACTGACAATTTTTTCAGGCTATTTCAGGCTACTTTTATTTCTGTTCCATGCACACTTTAAGCACATTCATCAATTCTTCGTCTATTGTTCCTTTTTGTACCGCCACTTCACTTTGACCTTACTTATCTCGTCTCCTATGAGAGATATAGCAAATTGGTCAACTGATAAAATGTTTATCATAATATCAATAACATTTTATCAGTTGACAACATTTTGATATCTGTTATAGTAACTGAGATAAAGTGGCTCAAAAATGACATTTCAAAGGAATCCCTGAAAGTCGGATTACTGTTTCAAGGGGTACTTTTTTAGATACATAACTTTATATTGTGTTTCATCCTACAATTTTTTTTGCATTTCAGAAAAAAGTATCAAGTCACATTGTAATCTCTAGTGATCTATGGTAATCGATGGTATAACCACCGTATACGGATTTATCTATAAAAATGTACCTCTTGAAGCACTGTAGGTACTGTATTCATTTTCGAACAGAAGTATACTAACTAACCGGATGTACCTTATCTTTGAGCGTGTTCACATCGTCAAAATGTCAAGTTCCAGCTGTCAGGGTACAATGTGAAGACGAATTAGATCCGCTAATATTGGCATCATCAAATGGACAGCTGGTTCCATTTTGAAATCATTTATCTCGGTTACTGTAGGAGATACCAAAATTTTGTCAACTGACAAAATGCTGGAAATGGTTTGAAAAACATTTTATCAGTTGACAAAAATTAATATCTCGCACAGGAGCTGAGATAATCGAGCTCAAAGTAAGGTAGCGCTTAAAGGTGGGGGGACAGGAGATTTTACGGGGGATTTTTGGGGCCAGAGTATGCATTCTACCGTAACGGTGTACAACGCTTAATGTCACTCTGCGTACATCCTCGTCCGCGCCTTTATGTATGCAATCAGGCGCCTGCTCCAGTTTCGCCCGCATGGCTCAGTCGGTAGCGGCGCCGCACCTTCAATACTCGCCTCGACAAGTTCAACTCCTCGAGGGGCATTTTTAAACAGAATTTCGAGAACATTTTTTTTTTTCATTAACCCCTACCTTTAATTAGAGGCAATACGACAAATGTGAGGAAAATGAGAGAAGAAAAAAAATAGAGAAACCACCAATGTGCTAGTGAACTGGATGTTCTTTGAAAAGTACATGAAACAGATAAAAAAGCAAATGTGGGATTTTCAGAAAGTGAACCAACTAAGCCCCTGGAAAACGATTCAGATACCAGTTCTCCGATCTGAATAATTTCAAAATTTGGATTTGGATTTTTAGGCTCCTGCCTGAAACTTGAAGAGTTTTCCTGGTCTTAACATAGCCAAAATATTTTCCGCCCGAGAAATTTGAGTTGAAGAATCTATTAAACACAGTTTTTTTTAAAATATTAGTTTATATTAAAATAATAAATACACATGATAAAATATACAAAATAACTCAAACGATCGTCATCTCAAGAATACCATCATTATGTGCAAGAGGGACAAAATAAACGTTATTAAAACCATTATAATTGTTAAGAAGAACATTTCTAATCAGTGGAATATTATCAACGTTTGGTTTCCTCTTCCCGTTTCCAGCCAACTCGTCGAGATGTTATTGATCCTCATCATCTGGCAAATATCCATCACATAGTTCACAGCTCCCCTTGTTGACATTCCATGAAGATCGTAGTAGTTTGGTGCCTTCGGGTAGACCTCATTGAACAGACGGATCCTTCGATTGATCCATTCGTCGATCGCGTTTGCCTTGATTGCATCGTTGATCGTCCTTTTCAGTCCGTGGAGATGTTGAACTTCTTTTTGCACGTCTCCTTTGACTCTTCTGTATTCCTCTGTGTACTCGATGAGTCTCATGTACTGCTCCTCGTCCTCTGGATGAATAAACTTGCAGTGTACTCCATATTTGCAGTCTTCGTCTCCTCCAACTGCATAACTCTTGCAAAGTCGAGTCTTGAATGGGTCTTCTTGTCTTCTTGGAGTATCCAAAACCATAAACGTCTGGTTTACAGTCATATTGAAGTCGGTGTAGAAAGACATTATTGTAATCAATAGGAGAATATATAGTCACAAGTAGGTGAACAACTAAATGGTATTCTGACAGAATCGAATTGGGTAAGGACCAGGCAGGTGGCCACCGGAAATGATGTCCATATGAAAACGTCTTCACATTGACATACCGGACCTAACTCACCAACAAACACCGTGAGAAACAAAACAGTTTTAAGAAGTGTGACCTAAAAACTTTAAACGTTTGGATTTCTAGGCCATTGCCTGAAACTTGGAAGGTCCCTGCGAATTTTAGCTTCAAATTACTCAAAAATGCATCCCACCGCCTCAGAATTTTGAGCTATTTTGAATCGAAGCTCCACAAACACAATATTTGAATTATGGCCTAGAAAATGGTGGAACTGAATTTCTAGGCCACCGAGGCCGTTTTTAGAATATACAGTAAAAAACCAAAAATTTTAGGGTATACTATAAAAAAATAGAATTTCTTTTTGTGATTGATAACTTTTTGCCATACTTGTAATCCAGGCCTTTGCCGGGCCTTCGCGGGCCCTGCCTTAATTTCTTTCAGAATCTATATTTTCGAACCAACTCAATCAGATATGATAGAGCTCCACAAGTACTACAAAACGGTATTGTTTGGAATACTGTATCTTAATTATGAACAAAGTTACAGATCATAAAGTGACTTTTTTCGCAGGGCCCGGCAGGCCCGGGGCGGGCCTGCTTTTTTTGCTCCTTTTGCTCTGTAACTCTGTTCATAGACAAGATACAGTATTCCAAATGATACCGTTTTGTAGTACTCGTAAAGTTCTATCATACCTGATTGAGTTGATTCGAAAACATTGATTCTGAAAGAGGTTATGGCAGGGCCCGCGAAGGCCCGGCAAAGGCCCGGATTACAAGTATGTTTTTTGCCAAATTTCATTCTGATGAGATTAGTCGTTTGTGAGCAAACAGTGTCAAAATGAGCACTTTCTCAGATGCGACACTTTTTTTATTTGGAAATGTTTTGAATTTTCGAATTTCTGATTTTGAAAATTTCCAGAAAGATAAAATTCTGATGTTAAGATTTGACTGTTAGGTTTGATTAAAGTTCGATCAGTATTCCGTGAAAAACAAAAACCTACAGTACCTTTTGTTTTTTTTTTCATTTCTAGATCAAAAAATTAACAAGCCAACCCACTGCACTAGGAAAATCATGAATCACGATATCACTTTGATTTTCAATTCTTTTGATAGAGCTCTAAATCAAAAAACTGGTTGAGGTTTCATTAAATTAAAGTTTCCTTTTTCGAATAAAGTTTTTTTCGTACTTCCATTTCCGCCCCAAAAAACAAATACCATACCAGCACAACTACCGTACACACAATAGAATGCCACCCAAACGAATAGAATGCCACACAAACGGTCAACTTTGAGGCAATTTATATTGGCTTCTGTCACAAATATCAAAAAGTAGTTAACTGACAAAACGTAGATTACGTTATCAAAAACATTTCGTTAGTTGACTACTTTTTGATACCTGTTAAAAGAGCTGAGATATATGTGCTCAGAGTGCGCGGTTACGGTGGCGTTCAATTAGATTGTTTACGGTATCCTGAAATGCGACACTCGAAGACTGTTAATTTTGTTTATAAAAACTATTGGGATATACAGAAACAACAAAAGAGGGCAGTCGAGAACTATCGGCAGGACCATCAAAAGCTTGACCCGTCTGGCGGTAAAAAAGCGCGAAACAGATGCCTTTGGAGAAATAATCTGGTGAATATAAACAAATTATATGGTAACACATTTTCTGGTATAAATAGAAAAACTACAGTAATCTGACAATCTTACAGTGGTAAATCGTCATTTTCTTTCACTTTTTAATTACTTTTTTCTAGATAATGAAAAAAAAACAAATCGCAGTATTTGAAAAATAATTTTTGGTTTTTTATCTGAAAAGTATGATTTTTAGGGTACCGAAAAATCATCTAGCAATTCTCCGATTGGTCTGAAAATTTTAGATTTACTGGTTTTTCATAATTTTGTTTTTTCCAGAAGTTTCCCAAAATCTGATTAATGTGACTTAAAATCATTTCTCTAAAATGCAGACTTTGGAACAGTAAAAATAGGTATACAGTAAAAATAGGCTTTGGAACAGTAAAAATAGGAATCTCGATAATTGAGTTCAAAGTTGATTGTCTGGGTGAGCTTCTATTAGATGAAATACGGTAATAAAACATGTACGCTATAAAAATGGTAATGAAGGCGGATAAGTGTGTGGCGCTTTCTAGACTTTTCAGACTTTGTTAAAATTTTCAATATTTTCAGATGCGATCAGGATTGCGAATATTCCGATGACAGTTGTCCCAATGTCTGTGAGCGCAAAGAATGTCCGGAGACCTGCTCCTCCAACAAGAAATATGGATGCCAGAATCAGAAGTTCCGAGGTTATGGCATTGGAAAAATCAAGAAATCCAAAGATGGCAAGGAAGCGGAACCAACCAAGCCAATCGTGGAGATAAGAGAGACCGGAGGCAAAGGAAAGGGGTTGTATGCCACTAAATGTATGGAAGCTGGATCGTTTGTGATCCCTTTTACGGGAGAATATGTTTCGGAAGCCGAGAAGGTCAAAAGATTCGAATTATATGAAGCAAAGATGGTGGACACTTACGTCTTGGATTCTGGGTGTCACTTCATCGACGCCACGGTCTCTGGAAACCAGGCGCAGTACATCAACCATTCATGCGATCCAAACCTCATCGCTGAGAAGTGGAAACTCCACGCCATGCCTAAGAATGTGAACTTTATTGCCTTCATTGCTATCAAGAATATCAACGAGGGAGACGAGCTGACCTTCAATTACAGATTCTCTAGGGATGAGTAAGTTAATTAGTATAGTTAATTAGGCAATTAATCAGAAATTATTATTTACAGTTCGTGTAATATCGAGTGCAAGTGTGGAAGCTGGAATTGCAGTGGATTGGTTGGCAAGAAAGAGAATGTCCGGACAGATAGAGAAGTCAAGAAGAATGGATCCAAGAAGAGGAAGATAATGGAGGTTGACGTTGAGGTTGATTTGAAGAAGACGGTCAAGAAGAGAAGATGCTGAAATGACTGACGAACTCAATCCATTGATTCCTAATGTGCATAAAAATTAAATATTGTCTATTGATTATCTACTAAATTGTCTACTTAATATATTTCCCTGATTCACAACTTTTGTAAATCTTACTAACTAATTTTCAGTTCTAATCGTTGTATTCTCTTTGTACAAAGTTTCGAGTGATATTTTCAAAAATTCAGATAAATTGAACTGGAAAATGTTTGAAAAATTATCTCGAGCTAGAAAAAACTACTTCTTACCGAATTTGACCTTTTCAGTATTTAGTTTTCGAATATAAACTTTTGGATACTGTAGGTTTTCCATGACGGGAGGGTAGCGAACGGGTAGCTGCAACCCGCCCGTACCCGTAACTTTTTGTGTTTACAGACAATGCGCGAAGTTTGCCGACACTTCGATTAAAATTTTTTTCAAATGATTTTTTGACAATTTTTGTCGCTTATTGGTGTAGAAAATAGTTTTAAGGTAAAAATAAAAATAATTCAGGTATGAAAATTTACCAGCCAGTAAAAATGGACGAATTTGTTTCGGAAAGAAACCGAAAAATATGCGCGAATTGTCGTCAAGTTGCGCGCATTGTCTGCAAACACAAAAAGTTCCGGGTAGCAATCGGGTACGGGTAGCTGCGGGTACGGGCGGCTATATCGCTACTCGCATGGAATCCCGAGGATACTGTAATTTGAGAGCATTAACACTTGAAAATTGCTTCTGACGATTTTCGATTCAAATTATCGATTTGATGAAACTGCAAAAAGTACAAAGATAAACTGCAGAAATTTTCTAGGAAAAAAAAATTTTCGAAAAAATGAAAAATTTAAGTTTCATACAAGTTCAATTATCTTCGTTGCTATAAGAGATATTGAAATTTTGTCAACTAACAAAATGTTTAACATATTATCACAAACATTTTATCAGTTGATCCAAATTCGATATCTGTTATAGAAACCGAGATGTGTGGCCTTAAAAAAATGGAAGCTTGAATATCTAGGCAACCCACTCAAACACTGAATTTTTGCCTGAATCAGCCTTCAAAATATTCGAAAGCCATTCCAACCCTTGCACAAGTTCCAGAGTTTTGATTTCGCGACAATCAGCTGAAATTCTGAAATCCCACATTCTTTTTGAGTGATCATAACTTCATATTTTTATACTGTTTCATTATTAAGAGAGTAAAGAAGTTTAACTTATTTAAAATGTTTAACTTATTTAAAATGAAAATGTAAAAGGGTTTAGCTTATTTCGAAAGTCCTGTTGCCGATTTTGGTTCCAGTAGCAATGATCTATTCTTCACGACACTTTATTTGTATCTCCTACTAATTAGTGTTTATCATGTTATCCTATAGATTTTATCAGTTGACACGTTTTTGATATCTCTTATAGGAGCTGAGATAATTGAGCTCAAACGTGACAGTGTGGGGGGGGGCCCTTCTATTACAGGTTTCACGGTATCTACAGTTTCTATTTACTTTTTTCACTGGGTTCTTCGTAATTGCACGAAAGTTACTATGAACATGCAGATTAGGTTAGTTCACAGTCTTGTTTATACGATTTGTAGTAGTACTGTCATCTGGCGGCGCGGAGAACTGTCGGAATGGACCATCAAATGAGGGTCCCGTCTGGCGGTTAAAAAAGCGGACAGATCTTTTTGGATAAGGAGAAGGGGTGTCCGGTTACTATAAACAATGTGGATAGATAGATGTCAGCAAGTGTTGAGAAGACTTCTGTGTTAATTGAGTGGTGATTATTGATTAGATTGAAGGATTATTGACATGAAAACTGAAAAAAATGTACCTGGAAATTAGTCAAAAACTTTATATACTCAAAAATCAGATAATCTTCCACGGCTGAAAAGTTCCAAAAACCAGCATTTTGGAAATTTGGTAATTTTTTTGTTTTAATTTAGTTTTTTTGACTTTGTAGGTCATAAAATATTGTTAATACACAGAATCATTTTAAACTTGCATTGTAGTTACTTTTAAATGAAAAAAAAAACAATAAAAAGGAAGCAAAACACGAAAACAAAACAAAAAAAACCAAGAAAAACAAAGCAAGAAAAACAAAAAGCAGGAAAAAAACAGAAAAAAAACAAAAAAAGAAACAAAACAGACAAGATTTATGAGATCTAGTTTAATAATTGGTTGTTGTGAGTGTTGCATTCTGTATCAGTTGAAAAAATCCATTAAAAGTATCAGAAATTCATTTATGATCCGAATACAAGCGATGAAAAAATAATTTCATATTAAACCGGTTGCGGTATAATAACGGTAATTAAGGGGTAAACGTTTTTTTTGTTCAATTTGAAATATGAGAGCTCCACTTGAACTTTGAGCTCAACTTTCTCTGTTCCTACAAGTGGTATCAAAATTTTGTCAACTAATAAAATGTTGGCGATAAAAGACAAGCATTTTATTATTTGACAAAATTTGTATATCACCTGTAGGAACCGAGATAATTGAGCTTTGTTTAATGCGATTTCCAAAGTTGTTAATAATAAGCTAAAGCTTAATCGATTTGAATTTAGCTTAAGCTCATCTGAAATTTAATGGTTGAGGGTTAAGCTCAGCTAAAGCTCTATCTCAATGATATAAACTAATCTTGCGTTGAAGCTATAAGAATTAAAGTTATCTTAAGTTCAAACTTAAAAGTTGGAGCTCATCTTAAGCTTACGTTCAAAAATTCAAGCTTAACTTGAGCTTAAGCTCAATAACTTCAGCTTAATGGAAGATAACGTTTGAAGTTCAAAATGTATAAACTATCTTCCTGTGTATAAAAAAAATTATCAGAAGTCTGCAAACTGGTAAAATGTTTATCATAATATCATCAAAGTTTTTATAGTTTAATTTAATCTGTTTATTGATCAGGTGAATAAAACATTAGAGGGCAGGACATGAAAGACTCAGAAAAATGCCCCTCACGAGGCCGATCTGAGTAGGGGAGGGGAAACGGGATAATTTAGATATTTGACACAGGAAAGATGTAACCGGTAGAAAAAGAAAAATAGGGGAGCAAATATATCAATAACGGGTAATACTGGAAGAAATTAAGGATTCAAATTCGGAAGGTAGGAGAAATCGGTTAACTTGAGAAGTGATGGCGTTCCACAGGGGAACAATTGAAGAAAAATAGTCAGAGGAGTAGGGCTGAACAATAATTAAGTTCATAGGGCGACGAGGGGAGGAGGAGTATTTGACATGTGCATTTAGGTTAGGAAAGTAGTTCATAGGTTGTCAATATATTTTACAGTAACCAAGATAATTGAGCCTGAAAAGGCAATAGAATGATAAATTGAACATCAAATAAATATTTCCCAAAAAAAACGGTTTTCCAAAATTGTGCGGCTGCTCCATTGCCATTCTACCGTACTCCACGAAAAGCGAAAGATGTTGAAGTGCGTCTTCTTGAATGTTATCCTCTATGCCGTTAATCTAAAATATGATATAAGAAGTAGCGATTTTCAAAATTTTTAATTCTCGAAGGAATAATCAAAAATGGGCCAGATTTCTGTCACAGAAAAATGTTAACCACTGATAAATGTCATAATCGCTGTGTTTTCGATCAGAAATAAGTTGATAAAATCAAAACAATGTAAACTTTTTGAAACATAATTTTTTTCAAAACTAACAATTGTCGATAATGCGAAAACCGTCATACACTGTTGATATGTTGAATTGTTATCGAATGTTCCTTGTGTGTCCATCTGAAGAGCATTTGATTTCAAAAGGAACTTTTTGTATGACTTGGAGTCTAGCATTATGGAATTGAAAAATCTAGTTTCCACGATAGCCACACTTTGAAACATTAAACAATTGAAAACTGGACTTTTAGGTTAAGTATTCGTAGACTGAAACTGTCATTTTTCCAATAGAAAATTAATTCATATCAAGAAAGAAACCAGTTTTCAAAAGCATGGCCTGGAAATTTGAGCTTCTAGACCACCTGCTATTTTTGACGTTTAAAAAACAACACATTCTTCAGCTGCCGGTTGTCTGTACCCAACAATAAACAACGTTGAGCTCAAAGGTTTTTTAAAAGAATATTTGAAACATAAACAAAAAAAATCCGA